CAGGAGCGAGGGACGACCAGAACAACCGACAGACAACCGAAAACAACCAAAACCAAACAGGGAAGGGGCCCCCCAAGGGCCGAGCGACCGAGCGCCAGCCCAGGGGCCAGGAGCGACCGAAACGACCGACAGAACCGAAAACAACCAAAACCACACAAGGAAGGGGCAACCAAGGGGCCGAGCGACCGAGAGCCAACCCAGGGGCCAGGAGCGACCAGAACAACCGACAGACAACCGAAAACAACCAACACCAGACAAGGAAGGGGCGCCCCAGGGGCCGAGCGGCCGAGAGCCAGCCCAGGAGCCAGGGACGACCAGAACAACCCGCGGACAACCGAAACCAACCAAAACCAGACAGGGAAGGGGCACCCCCAGGGGCCGAGCGACCGAGAGCCAGCCCAGGGGCCAGGAGCGACCGAAACAACTGACAGACAATTGAAAACAACCAAAACAAAACAAGGAAAGGACACCCCCAGGGGCCGAGCGACCGAGAGTCAGCCCAGGAGCCAGGGCCGACCAGAACAACCGACAGACAATCGAAAACAACCAACACCAGACAGGGAAGGGGCACCCCCAGGGGCCGAGCGACCGAGAGCCAGCCCAGGGGCCACGGGCGACCGAAACAACCGACAGACAACCGAAAACAACGAAAAACAGACAGGGAAGGGGCACCCCAAGGGGCCGAACGACCGAGAGCCAGCCCAGGGGCCAGCAGCGACATCACCGTCCGACGGAGAACCGAAAACAGCAAAACCAAACAGGGACGGCGCCCCGAGGTGCCGAGCGAGCCGAGAGCCGCAGCCCAGCAGCCTAGGGACACCAGAACAACCGACGGACAAACCGAAAACAAAAGAAACCAAACCGGAAGGGGCACCCCCAGGGGGCCGAGCGCCGATAGGCCGCCCATGACTCAGGGACGACCAGACAACCGACGGACAACCGAACACAACCACAACCAACAAGAGGGCGCCCAGGGGCCGAGCGACCGAGAGCCAGCCCAGGGGCCAGGTACGACCAGAACAACCGACAGACAACCGAAAACAACCCAAACCAAACAAGGAAGGGGCACCCCCAGGGGCCGAGCGACCGAGAGCCAGCCCAAGGGCCACGGGCGACCAGAAAACCCGACGGACAACCGAAAACAACCAAATCCAGACAGGGAAAGGGGCCCCCCAAGGGCCGAGCGACCGAGAGCCAGCCCAGGGGCCAGGAGCGACCGAAACAACCGACAGACAACCGAAAACAACCAAAACCAGACAGGGACGGGGCGACCCAGGGGCCGAGCCACCGAGAGCCAGCCCAGGAGCGAGGGACGACCAGAACAACCGACAGAAAACCGAAAACAACCAACACCAGACAGGGAAGGGGCACCCCAAGGGGCCGAGCGACCGAGAGCAAGCCCGGGGGCCAGGAGCGACCGAAACAACTGACAGACGCCCGAAAAACAACCAAAACCACACAAGGAAGGGGAACCCCAAGGGGCCGAGCGACCGAGAGCCAGCCCAGGGCCCAGGAGCGACCAGAACAACCGACAGACAACCGAAAACAACCAAAACCAGGCCGAAGGGAAAACGAACAAAACGAACAACCAACAACCAACAACACTCATTTTAAAAACAACAAACACCAACGAAAACCAACCAAAGACAATCAACAACAACAACGAAACACAACCAAAACAACCAAAGAAGTAGATTAGATTTGCGCCCGCCCCCAACAAAAATCTAAAAATATCAATTCTTGAAGTAGGAAGGCGCTTAAAGTAGATTGGGATCTGGGAATCCAAAAATACCTACTTTCAACGACCGACGTGTACTTCTCAGTCGCGGTGCGCTACACCACAAACCACTGCTCCTCCGAACCCGCGGGGCGTGCGCCGACAACGCGCTCCGACCGTCGGCTCGAGGAGCACGAGGAGGCAAAATGAAGGAAAACGGACACAGGCGCTGGTGGCGCGGCAGGCGCGGGGCAAGGGTTGGAAGGGCGAGGAAAACGGACGCAGGCGCTGGTAAGAGCGCGTTTTCTTTCTGTTCGGCGATGACGGGCGTCATTGGGGGGGCGGGGGGGGGGGGGTATGATGACGTAACGCCCCCCCCCCCCCCCTGCCGTGTGTCTCTGGCAACACAGCCGCGCCCGCGCGCACAACGCGACGAGCGACGGGCGACGAGCGACGACGACGACGACGCGTGCAGCATGTAGGTGGCGGTATGCCCCACTGCGCCTGTGTACATAACAAAGCTCGCGTGCACCACAGCGCACGTGTACACCACAGCGCAGGCGTACACCGCAACAACCGTGTGCAACGCAGCGCCTGTGTACACCACAGTGCTTGCGTACACTACAGCGCCGGTGTACATGTGTACACCGAAGCAACCATGTGCAACACAGCGCCTGTGTACACCACGATGCTTGCGTGCACCGCAGCGCCTGTGCACGCCACAGCGCCTGTCTACGGCAGGTTCGTGTCGTGCCGACCCCAGCGTTGGTTTCTGACACCGCGCTGGATCGTTCAACCTTGAACGATCGGCCGCTGCCGCAACGTCCGATCGTTCCACATTGATCGATTCTGGGCCGCCGCCGGCGTTCAACCTTGAACGCCCGCGCTGGGGTCGCCGCTGGTCGACACGACGCAAACCTACCGTACACCACAGCATCCGCGCGCAACGCAGCGCTAGTGTACACCACAGTGCCTGCGTGCAGGAAAGTGTTGGTAATCGAATGCGACGCTTTTCCCTCTTCCCTCCTCCTCCACCTCCACCCCGTCCTCCCCTTCCTCCTCCTCCTCCTCCTCCTCCTCCTCCTCTCTCCTCCCCCCTCCTCCTCCTCCTCCTCCCCTTCCTCCTCCTCCTCCTCCTCCTCCTCCTACTCCTCCTCCTCCTCCTCCTCCTCCTCCTCCTCCTCCTCCTCCTCTTCCTCCTTACCCCCTGTCGCGCGGTGCGCCACAGCGCACGTGCGCATCTCAGCGTGCACCGCAGAATGGTCGATTGAATCGGTCCACTTGCTTTTCCCACGGCCAATTTAGCTGGAGCCTCCTGGACGCAGATGGGAGGAGTTAGGGTGATGCGGGCGGACTCGGGAGGACTCGTAGATTCCAGCGGCGCTCCTTTGTCCATAAGGATTCCTTTTCTGTTGTTTCCTGTGGGATCCACAAGCGCTCCACTCTGTCATAAAGATTCCTTCTAACATTCTATATACAGCAGTGGTGTTGTGTTGCACACGGTTACCGTGGCGCACACAAGCACCGTGGTGTACACAGGCACTGCAATGCACGCAGGCATTGTGGTGTACACTGGTGCTGTGTTGCACGCAGCTGATGTGGTGTACGCAGGCGCTGTGGTGTACACAACAACTGTTGTGCCCGCAGGCACGGTGGCACAAACTGACGATGTGTTGCACGCGGCTGCGGTGGTGTACACAGGCGGTTTGGTGTACACAGGCGCTGTGGTGCACGCAGGGACTGTAGTGTACACAGGCGTTGTGGTGCAGATCGCCACCTCCATGCTAGTCATTCCCAGGCATTCCCAGACGCCGCCAGCGCGAAACGTGACGACATCGACCCCCCCCCTCCCCCCCCAGATGATTGCCGTCATCGGCCCGGAATGAAAAACAGGCTCCAGCCGCGTCCGCGCGCACGACGACGATGAGCGACGAGCGACGAGCGACGAGCCACGAGCGATGACGACGACGACGACGACGACGACGACGACGACGACGACGACGATGACTGTGGACCAGCTATGCGGATTCCTACGCGGACACCTTCGCGGATCCCAAGGCGCACGGCGGCAGTGCCCGGAGCGCACTGGGGGGGGGGGAACGTTACGTCATAGGGGGGGGGAGCGGGGGCCATGACGTCCGTCATGCCCCAAGCAATAAAGGAACGGGCTCTAACGTTTTGCCCCAGTATGCCTCAGACGGATCTTGAACAATGCCCTGGCATATTTGCCGCGCCTCTCGAACAGGAGCGTCCTCGAGGCCGCCAGCCAGGCTCCATGCAGCGCGCAGATGTTGAAGCACCAACTTACGCAGTACGGAAGAGTGGGGAGGGCCTGCGACCAGGACATTCTCAGAGAGCTGAATCTGCAACCGGGGACAACGTTGCCTGCTGCGGCGCAACTCCGTAGGGGGAGGGGCCGGCCGAGGAGCGAGTCGACGTGTTACGTGTTTACGTCAGAAAGTTCGTAGCTGTTTTGGGTCCAGCGAGATGCTGCTCGATTGCGTACGAGATGAACGTCGATGGCGGGAGTTCGTCGACAACCGCATCAACGAGTTCAGATGCTTGCGAGCCCTGGCAGGCTCGTCTACCCCCATGCTGTTGCCGCTGCTCTCAGGACTCAGGACTCTGCGAAACTGGTCGTGCAAGCACAAAGCCAGCTGATGGGGATTAACTAAGCCAGAGGGCACCCTCAAAAGGCAAAAGGGGCCACCTTCCCAAACTTGAGCTGGGTGCCAGGCACCTCTCCTTTCCGTTGCTTTCTTTACTCGGAAGTGGGGAGGCGGAGGGCATTGCAAGGAACGGACAGCTTCGTCCCTCTGCCCATGCTGAAACTGGGTCCTCCTCCTTCTCCTCCTCCTCCTTGCAGTGCACGCTGTGCTGAGCATGTGTTCCCGCCCACGCGCCCGACGGCGCATGGCTTGAGTGCGAGTGCGCGCTTTCCGCCCTCGGTCGCAGCAGACTCCAGGAGAGGCACGGAGCACGCAGCAAGAACTGACGGTCTGACACTTCGTTCGGACCGCGGCAAGAGCGACTCCACACGAGACGCTTGTCAGGGGCCTCGCGAGCCATCTCAAGGGGAAAGGAAGATACAGGAAGAACGGCGGAAAGGAAGGACGGGAGCGAGATGTAGCGGTAATTAGGGCGGAAGATGTGAGGCGGGAGGACGAAGCATGGGCTAGGATAGGACATGACCGATCGCGAAGCGAGGTGACATGACCCGGCCACCACCCGAGCCATAGCTCAAGTTGAGTCAAAATGGTGAATTCGCTTCTCCGAGTCGGCGTCACCTGCACACGCTGATCTCGGGGACGCCCCTCTCTGCGCCCCGGGGCGCCGCGGGCCTCTCTGCCAGGCGGGCCAGACGGGGGCGATCCGCGGGCGCCGCGAGCCGCGAGCGCACAGACGCCCTCTGGCTGCCGCCGCGGGGGCTCGTGGCACGTGCCCGCCCTCCGCGGCGCCGGCGCCGCAGCGGTGCAGGCTCGAGGCGGGAGGGACGAGAGGGGGCCAGGGTGCCGCCCAAAAAAACAGGCTCCGCTCGAGGAGGCCGAACGGTAGCCGAGGGGGGGGGGAACGACTGTGCAGTCACGAGCTCTGAAGACGGCGCCTCTGGCGACCACGGCGCCTCTTTTCTGATTCCTCGGCGCATGCTCTTTTCACTTCCTGGGCCCTGTGCTCGAAACATTCTCGCCCTGGGGCTGGCCAGTGACGGATGCTAAGTCGCTCCTTTCATTTGCCCGTTGGGTTTTCTGTTATCGGAGGTTACTTTCTGAAGTTGTGCCGGCATCTCAGCAATCGACTCGTTTTCCGATCCAGTTCCACAGCCTTCCACGTTATGGACGACGCTTCGTCAGGCTGCCCAGGGGGGTGATGTTTGGGTCTTGCAGTTTTAGTTATGCCTCCCTTCTCCAGCCCTGCTCTGTGATTATTGAGCCACCATTGGTTCTTGAGCCAGCTTTTCTCGCTCTTCAGACTTCCTTGCTCCGATAATTGCTTTGTCTGGGGCTGCTCGCTCTCAGGTTATGCCGGCTCTTTTTCCCAACCCTCCTTGGTTGGGAATTCGTGCTGAATAGAGCACTGAGGTCGCGTCCTTCTCCTCCCGCTTCCCGCCTACTGCCTCCCGCCTCCGGTCTCCCGCGAGACCTCGCCGTCCCTGGGGGGGGAGGCTGCGATCTGCGAAACCGTCGCCTCTTTCGAGGGCTGCTGGTGGGTCAAGCGGAGTGAGGCACCGCACAGATCTGAGCGGTACCTCGCAGACCCTGGGGGGCTGCGATCTGCGAAACTGTCGCCACGTTCGAGGGCTGCTGGTGGGTCCATGGGTCCAGCGGAGTGAGGCACCGCGCAGATCTGAGCGGCACCTCCCCGTCCCTAGGGGGCTGCGATCTGCGAAGCTGTCGCCACTTTCGAAGGCTGCTGGTGGGCCCAGCGGAATGAGGCGCCGCGCAGATCTGAGCGGTACCTCCCCGTCCCTGGGGGGCTTCTATCTGCGAAACTGTCGCCGCTTTCACGGGCTGCTGGTGGGTCCAGCGGAATGAGGCACCGCGCAGATCTGAGCGGTACCTCCCTGTCCCTTGGGGGCCGCGATCTGCGAAACTGTCGCCACTTTCGAGGGCTGCTGGTGGGTCCAACGGAGTGAGGCACCGCGCAGATCTGAGCGGTACCTCTCCGTCCCTGGGGGCCGCGATCTGCGAAACTGTCGCCGCTTTCGAGGGCTGCTGGTGGGTCCAGCGGAGTGAGGCACCGCGCAGATCTGAGCGGTACCTCCCCGTCCCCGGGAGGCTGCGATCTGCGAAACTGTCGCCACTTTCGAAGGGCTGCTGGTGGGTCCAGCGGAAGAGGCACCGCGCAGATCTGAGCGGTACCTCCCCGTCCCTGGGGGGCTGCGATCTGCGAAACTGTCGCCGCCTTCACGGGCTGCTGGTGGGTCCAGCGAAGTGAGGCACCGCGCAGACCTGGGCGATACCTCTCCGTCCCTGGGGGGCTGCGATCTGCGAAACTGTCGCCACTTTCGAAGGCTGCTGGTGGGTCCGGCGGAGTGAGGCACCGCGCAGATCTGAGCGGTACCTCCCCGTCCTGGGGGGCCGCGATCTGCGAAACTGTCGCCACTTTCGAGGGCTGCTGGTGGGTCCAGCGGAGTGAGGCACCGCGCGGATCTGAGCGGTACCTCCCCGTCCCTGGGGGCTGCGGTCTGCGAAACTGTCGCCACTTTCGAGGGCTGCTGGTGGGTCCAGCGGAAAGTGAGGCACGCGCGGAACTGAGCGGGACCTCCCCGTCCTTGGGGGGCTGCGATCTGCGAAACTGTCGCCTTTTCCGAGGGCTGCTGGTGGGCTCGTCACTTTCGAAGGCTGCTGGTGGGCCCAGCGGAGTGAGGCACTGCGCAGACCTGAGCGTGGCCTCGCCGTCCTTGGGGGGTCATGTCATGGTGTTGCTGCCCCGCCAGCGTTTAAAGCCCCTTGCCCACCGTCTCCTTTTGGAACTTGCGTCTTCCTTAGTGACTCAGGGGGTCACTTAGCTACTCATCGTGTTTCCCTTGATTGGGGACCTTCGAACCTTCCGAATGCCGCTCGCAGAAGGATACGAGTCCATGTCACGTCGCCGCCTTGTGGTCAAATCTCCCAAGCAACTCCTGCCCCGCATTGCGCAGGGGTTGGGTACGACGCCAGGGATTGTGTTAGATACGAGCACTTTTTTGCTATGAATCCCTTCTGCCCTAGCTCTGCAATGTTTCTGGCTCTGGAGGCTTGTTTTCCAGCTCTGCTGGCCTGTTTGGTTTAGGCTGTTTTTTCCCCAACCATCCTGTGGTGTTGGGTCCTCGTTTTGAAGAGACGGTGCCCCGCGTTCTCCTCCTCCTTCCTTCCTCCTCCTCCTCCTCCTCCTCCTCCTCTTCCTCCTCCTCCTCCTCCTCCTCCTCCTCCTCCTCCTCCTCCTCTTCCTCCTCCTCCCTCCTCCCCCTCCTTGCTTTTGCTCTCCGCATGCCTCTGTTTCGGTACAGCCCTCACACGTTTCGCGGCCCCATAGGGAGCCCCACCTGGGGTCCCAGTGGCGCAGCCCGCATGGCGAAGCCGCCCCATTTTGCCACACCCCTCGCACGTTTCGTGGCCCCATAGGGAGCTCCACCTAAGGCCCCAGTGGCGCAGCACGCATGGCGCCGCCGCCCCATTTTGGCACACCCCTCACACATGTTGTGGCCCCATAGGGAACCCCACCTAAGGTCCCACTGGCACAGCACGCATGGCGCCGCCGCCCCACTTTTGGCACACCCCTCACACGCTTCGTGGCCCCATAGGCAGCTCCACCTAAGGTCCCAGTAGCGCAGCCCGCATGGCGCCGCCGCCCCACTTTTGGCACACCCCTCACACGTTTCGTGGCCCCGTGGGGAGCTCCACTCAAGGTCCAAGTGGCGCAGCCCGCATGGCGTCGCCGCCTTATTTTTCGCACCCCCCGTCATCTCTCTGCCCAGCGGCCACAGCCTTGGCCGCTATCAGCCAGCCAGCTAGCTTTCTCTGCTCCGCGCAGCGGGCGACCCGTGCGCGTCGCCGGGACCCCTTCGGGGCGACCGGCGTGCGTCGCGGGGGCTCCGTGCGGCGCCACGCCCGCAGCCTCGGATATGGGCGTGCACGGGCAAAAAGAAAAAAAGTAACGGGAAGGAAGCGGGTGCGATCCTCGGGAGGAACGTGCCGACATGGGCGTCGACGTTTATGCACGTAGACTGATTCGCACGCAGACTCATTCAAAATCAAGTTCACTCGCGCTCAGTCTCTCGCACACAGACCTATCGTCTTCGCTCGCGTTGTGCCTGGACACGTATTTCGGCACGCCCCTCGCACGATTCGTGGCCCCATAGGGAGCGCGGGCAAAGATGATATTCATAAATGCGGTATTCACAACTGCACATGGTAAGGTCCTTCGCCTGGATAATTTTAGTTGCGCAGGCTTGCTGGTTCAGGGTGCGTATTTCTCCCCTGCAGGCGTTCTGGCTCAGGTCTCTCGTCACTCTCTGATCCAGAGCAATTGCTTCTCACACGCTGCAGGCTTTCTTGTTTCGTCGGTTCCTTCTCCGGGGTCTGCAGGCGTTCTCTCAGATTTAACACTTTTAACGGGATCTCTGGTCGGAAGGTGAACTCTAAAGTGAACACTTTTAACGGGATCTCCTGTCGGATGATTAACTCTGGAGTAAACACTGTTACGCAATTTCCACCGAAAAGTCAACACGGGCCCAAAGGATTATGAGTTTGATCGAGATGCATTCGCAGAGGATTATGGGAAACCTGGAATCACCACGAAAACAACACTTTTGTTGTAGTGATTTCACGTTATCAATAATTCGGAATTCTGGAGATCCTGGGCTCATCACAAAAAAACACACTGCTGTGATTCCAGGATTCCCACAAATCGGAATAAAATCTAAATCATGGAAACTTGGAATCACTACAAACACGCTTTTCTTTCCGTCGTGGAACCACCACCCAAACATAGCCTTTTTCGTTGTGGCCCCAGGTTTCCCACAATTCGCATGTATGGGACACCGGGAAATCACCAATATCCTGGCGAAGGACCCAACCATACGCAGTTGTGGGTACCGCACTTGTGAATGTCTTCTTCAGTGAAGCTCCCTATGGGGCCACGAAGCGCCGCACTGGGCGGGGGGAAACGCTTGCGGGCGGTAGCACTGGGGCCGTCGTTGGAGCTCCCTGTGGGGCCACGAAACGCTGTACTGGGTGGGGATGGGTGCATGCGGGCGGTAGCACGGGGGCCTTCGGTGGAGCCCGCTATGGGGCCACGAAGCGCTGAACTGGGTGGGGGGGGCGCATGCGGGAGGTAGTAGTGGGGCCGTGGGTGGAGCTCCCTACGGTGCCACGAAAAGCTATACTGGGTGTGGGGGACGCGTGCGGGCGGTAGCACTGGGGCCGTCGGTGGAGCTCCCTATGGGGCCACAAAGCGCTGCACTGGGCAAGCGAAATGCCAAATTGGGCGTGTGGGGCGCATGCCGGCGGTCTCACTGGGAGTTTCGGTGGAGCCCCCTTATGGGGCCACGAGGCGCTGTACTGGGTGGGTGAAAATGCCAAATTGTGTGTGCGCGTGTGCGCGTGTGCGTGTGTGCGCGTGTGTGTGTATGTGTGTGTGTGGTTGTGCGTGTGTGCGTGTGTGTGTGTGTGTGTGTGTGTGTGTGTGTGGGTGTGTGGGTGTGTGGGTGTGTGGGTGTGTGTGTAGGTGTGTGTGTGTGTGTGAATGCGTGCGTGCGTGCGTGCGTGTGTGCGTGCGTGCGTGCGTGTGCGTGCGCGCGTGCGTGTGCGTGCGCGCGTGCGTGTGAGTGTGAGTGTGTGGGTGTGGGTGTGGGTCAAGCTAGCCAGCTCGAGCGAATCAAGCATGGCATGCCCATTCCCACCCGCCTTCCCACAACATAAGAAACAGTGATGGCACAACTGGGGGCTGCGCGGGCATTAAGTGCGAGTGGAGTATATATACCCCGGGACACCGCATTGACGTCCGCGCGGGATGTGCGCCGCGTCCCATTCCCGCCACGCATTTCGCATCGTCGACGACAAGACTGGCCATGTTGAAAGGAGTAACCGTAGTTGTAGTAGTGGTAGTGGTAGTGGTAGTGGTAGTGGTAGTGGTAGTAGTAGTAGTAGTAGTAGTAGTAGTAGTAGTAGTAGTAGTAGTAGTAGTAGTAGTAGTAGTAGT